CACGCCTGGCTAATTTTTGATTTATTGTAGAGATGAGGTCTCGCCAAGTTGCCCAGGCGGATCTCAAACCCACAGGATCAGGCAATCCACTCACCTCAGCCTCCCAAAGGAGCGGGATTACAGGCTGAGCCACTGAGCCTGGCTAACAATTTATTTTAATTCTGACACTACCTGCCTGGAGTTAGCATTAGATCCTACAAGTTCAAGGGCCCAGATGCCAGTTGCAAGTCTGGGCCACCTATACTTCTGACTAATGGCTATGAATCGAGGTTTCCACAACTTTTCAATTATGATAATTTGCTAGAATGATTCAGAACTCAGGAAAACATTTTACTTTCACTGGTTTAATAAAGAATACAGCTCAGGAACAGCCACATAGAAGAGATGCATAAGGCAAGGTATGGTATGTGTGGGTGGCATGGAGTTTCTTTTTTTTAAATTTAATTTTATTTTTATTTTAAAGATATGGGGTACAATTCAGCTTTTGGTATACAAATGGTCATTGTACAGGTAAAGTTTGGGCCTCACTTGGATCCCCACTTCACCTGGTTTGAGATCAAGTACACTTGTTGATGAAGTGTGCCTCTCCCCTTTCTCCACTGACAGTTTCCCACTACTGCCAGTGCCTTTCTTTTTTTTTTTTTGAGTTGGAGTGTCACTCTGTCACCCAGACTGGAGTGCAATGGCCGCTCCCGGCCACCACAGCCTCGACCTGCTGGGCTCCGGCGATCCTTCCACCTCAGCCTTCCGAGTAGCCGGAACTACAGGCGCGCGCTACCACTTCGGGCTGATTTTTTGATTTATTGTAGAGAGGAGGTCTTGCTGCCCAGGCGGGTCTCGAACCCGCGGACTCAGGCAATTCACTCACCTCATCCTTCCAAGGCGTGGGATTACAGGCTGAGCCACTGAGCCCAGCGCCAATGCCTTTCTTATAGTATTATGATAATTGTTCAGGGTCCGCTTATGAGTGAGAACATGTGGTATTCAGCTGTTTGTTTCTGTTATAAATCACTGAGTATTATAGACTCTTAAAACCCATCCAAGTTGCTGCGA